GGTGGTTCAAACCCACCAGCCACTCCTCAGAAGGAAGATGGGGCAATCTACTTCCGTAGTGTTACTGCCTCGGAAACCCAAGGAGGGGTTGCTATGAATTAGGTCCGACTCGACAGCACATAACAACAACAAAGTTTCTTAGAAGTTAGTTGCAAAGTGGAATCTGTAAACATATCAACAAGATTTTTTGGCTCCTGCAACATCAAAATCCATTGGTTTCTTATACACATTGAGTGAAATTTTTGAATCAATGTAAATTTTTGTAACATCTTGCTTTGGTCATTTGGAAATATTGGTTGACAGGGTTATAAAGATCTTCCAATGTCACATTACTATACAAAAAAAATCACATTCATTAATTATTACCATGGAACTCATCAGAAAAGTCTTTAAATAGTGAGAAGCTGTCAGGCCCATAGCAATAGAAACAAATATTCCAAAATTCTACTTTTCACTTGTCATTGAAATTTTTTCATTGACAATAAATACTGTCAGTTTCTTTCCCTAAAGTGACGGGATCTCTTTGTTCATTTTTGAGATAATACTTGCCAAACAACCAGGTCTTAATAACACAGTTTGTCTGTTAGTCATTCTTTCAAAAGAAAATGTTGTTTAATGAAGAAAGAGGCTCATTTCAGCTCACAAGTCAAAAATCACATAAATGTTTTTCCTTCAGACAAGTGTCACAGCTTATGTATATACTCCAAAACCAAATCAGATTCACTGCCATTGAGTGGATTCTGACTCATAGTGATCTCCATTGAGTTTCCAAGGTTGTAAATCTGTACGGAAGTAGATTGTCTCATCTTCCTTCCATGGTACTGCTGTTGGGTTTGAACTGCTGACCTTCTGGTTAGCAGCCAAATGCCTTATCCACTATATCACCACAGCTCCTTTATCCATGTACTAGAAGTATTTTATTACATAGAGTATTAAAAAAACTGCATATTCAATGGTAGAGATTTTTAAAAATCACTCTTACTGCTTCATCATGAATTTTCTTAAGTAGCAATGAACTTTCTTAAATAATTAAATATGAGGATGTGGTGATGAACAACATAAATATTAGTAGAGAATTACCCACTACCTACTCATTTTACTCATTTACTCATTTTATTCATTTTACCCACTACCCACTGCCATCGAATCAACTCCAACTCAGGGCAACCCTATAGGACAGAGTAGAACTGTCCCATAGGGTTCCCAAGGCTGTAAATCTTTATGGAAGCAGACTGCCTCTCTTTCTCATGTGGAGCAGCTGGTGGGTTCAAACTGCCAACCTTTTGATTAGCAGTCACATGCTTTAACCACTGCACAACCAAAGCTCCTTACAGATTAAAAACAGGCTAAAATAAGTGTCAAGTGCAGCTTTAAAGAAGGAATGTATATCAAAGGCAAGTTGGGGGGATCATCTCACTAATTTGTTCTTCATAATGATAGGCTGTGCTTATAAAATGTATTCATAAGGGCTATTTTATATTTTACTCTTAATATTTTTTTGCCAGTTCATTAAAGAGTTCTTTCTTTCTTCCCAAATGGCTTCCTCCCAACTATCAAGTGCAATGAGTGAAGCTGGGAGGGTGTGCTATGGCAGTGAAGTTTTCTAAGTTACCAAGGTTCTGCCAGTTTCCCTGAATCCTTTGTTTTACTGTGAGTCTGACCTTAGCAACCAACAAACAACCATAAGTATTAATTAAATATTACTTTCCTTGAAAAGATAAACTAATTACATCTGTTGATTTTCAATAGGTAATGAAGCAGATCTAAGTAAGCAAGCAACACCTATAGACCCCTCACCCATGACTCAAACATTTGAAGAAGGATTGCAATCTCAACACATGCTAGTGGCTGAAATCATGGTGTCAGGTATGAATAATGAGTTCTCCAATACAGCTTTACTTGCAGCAGTTTTCATCCTACCAGTTTAAATTTCTCTAACTTAATATTGGCTAATGCTACACAAGACTAATGAAACCAAACTTTGGAGAAGTCCTTCTCCTGTTTAGAATTGTGTGGTTCAGGAAAATGACTCCATATTAGGCTAGACTGAACTTTACTTGTTGAAAGTCTTGGGACTAAACACTCTCTGAAAAACTTAGTATTTTTAGTATTTGGCCTATCTGATTGTCCTTCCATCAGCATGAAATGTAGATAGTAATTAATAAACAAATATAGATTGTTTGCTTCAACTGCTACAGAAAGTACATAAAAAGTAAATACTAGAATTCTTTTCTTCTATATTGCACATTTAACATCAAAATGCCATTTGTTCAGTCCATAACAACTTTAAGGAATCTCAGTCTTTTATGTGCTATTTTTAGTCATGAGGCCAGAGATTTTCAAATGAGGGCTTTGGCAAACCCAAATACTTCTTCACTCCAGGTTATTGTGAGGCGCCATCAAGTTGGCTCCAACTCCTAGCAACTCTGTGTCCAATAGAATGAAACACTGCCCAGTCTTACACCATCCTCACAGTCCTTGCTATGCGTGAGCCCATCATTGCACCCACTGTGTCAATTCATCTTGTTGAGGGTCTTCCCCTCTTTCGCTGACCCTCTACTAAGTGTGATATCCTTCTCCAGGGACTGGTCCCTTCTGACAGTACGTGACCAAAGTACGTGAAATGAAGTCTGGCCATTCTCCCAAGGAGCTTTCCAGCTGCACTTCTTCCAGGACAGATTTGTCCTTCAATCTGTACAACTCAGAAACTTTTTAAAATTTATATTTCTGAATAAGATTTTATAGCATGTCTGTGGCTAAAAAAAAGTTTGAAAACTCCACATTAGGGCACTGTATACATTCAAGAATGCTCACTCTATTTTTGTGGTCTGCAGACAACTTTATAGATATTAGAGACCTCGTTGACCTCTTATTCCATCTGACAAGAAGTTATTAGTGTGAATTTTGATAAGATATAAATGAAGAGGTGAACATTTTTACTACTAATAACAACATTTATAAGTAACTTTAGAGTTTAACAAGTCTTTTAAGTAATTCTCTAATTTGATCCTTATTACAACCACCATTTTGAAGATGTGAAAATTGAGAGTAAGATAGATACAATGTTGATGACCTGACCAAAATTTTTTTGAAAATAGTGAATAAATAATTAATTCATGCCAAGATAAAAAAGCACAGGAAGACATTATCGTATTAGGAATATAATATATTTAGGTGCAGTGGTTAAATGCTTAGTTGCTAACCCAAAAGGTAAGCAGTTAGAACCCACCAGCTGCTCCACGGGAGAAAGATGTAGCAGTCTGCTTCTGCAAAGATTCCAGCCTTGGAAACCGGATGGGGCAATTCTACTTTCCCTATTAGGTTGCTGTGAATTGGAATAAAGTCAAAAGCAATTGGTTTGGGTTTGGTACTAAGTGCTAGGGATACTGTGATATGTTAAATATAGTTCCAGTCCCAAAAGTTACAGTCTGATGTGGACACAATATGATAGAATGAAACAGCATGCATCAATATTAGCAGTACAGAGAAACTATTCAAAGTCACCAGGGACCATAGAAGTTCATAGAGCATATTTTTAAAGGTAAATGTTTGGGAAAATGAAAGACCAAAATAAATGACTGATAGTAAATTTGTACATAGTGAGATGGGGGAGTGAGGAAATGACCAAAGATACGTGAGTATATAGATAATAGGCTGTGTTTAGATTCTTGCCAGGAGACTGTACTCTGCCAAGCACAGAATAGATGGATCTGATTGTCTTGGTGAAAAGTGTTGCATCTTTCCAATAGTTCTGTTTTGTCCTAGCCTGTAAAATTTTAGTTTAATCTAGTTTAGGCTAAGGTGTCTTATTTATGTTTCAGAGTGAAATTTCATTTAACTGTACATTAGGATTTTAGAATAAAATTTAAAATTGTTAGTGTGGCCTGTTGGACCCTGCATGAACAACCCTTATTCTCAGTTTTACTGGCCTCAAATCCCTTCTGCCCTTGACTTCAATGGGCTGCTTCAGTTACACTGGCCTTTCCTGTGATGTGCACCTGTTGGTTTCTTGTCCCATATTTCTAACCTTCCTGACTCTTGTGTGTTCTTCAGATCTCAGATTAATATGCTTTTGCTCAGAAAGCCATTCTAGTTCCCTGACCAGGTAAAGTTGTCCTATTACATACTCTTAGGATTCAGTACTGTTTCTTGATAGTCTGGTATTGTACTTCAATAACTTGTGCAAGACAATGATGCCTTTTCTGTATCCATCACCACCATATCTTTGGCCCTCGCTAGGGCCCAGCATGTAGTACCCATTTCCTATTGATATTGAGTTGATTTTGACTCATGTGACACTTTAGGACAGAGAAGAACTGCCCAAAGTGTTTCCAAGACTGTAAATCTTTACAGAAGCAAAGTGCCTCATCCTTTTCCAATAAAGTGGCTAGCGTGTTTGAACTGCTGACCTTCTGGTTAGCAGCTAAATGCTTTAACCATAGCACCATCAGAGCTCCTTTAGCATGTGGTAAATAATAATTAAAAAAAAAAAACACAACTCACTGCCATTGAGTTGGATCTGACTCATAGTGACCCTTCCTTGTGTTTCCAAGGCAGAATCTCTATGGAAGTAGATTGCCCAATCTTCCTTCTGAGGAATGGCTTTTGGGTTTCAACCACCAGCCTTCTGGTTAGCAGTCAAATGCCTTAGGCACTACACCACCAGAGCTCCTTTAGTGTGTGGTAGGCACATTTAAATGAATTTTACTTGTTTCACTAATGGGTTTGTGTGATAAAGCTAGTTCTGTTTCAGGTTGTTACAATACTAATTTATTTCATCATTCTTATTTAGATATGTATGTTTTATAACTGTCAAATAATTTTTTAAATACAATTTTTTTTCTTCAACTGCTTATGACAAAGACTTTACACAGTTGTCATCTATATTTTAGAGCAAGAGAAAGTTTGTGGCAGAAAGAACTTTGACAGTAGATGATCCTTCTTACAATTATATCCCTGCTATATCCATTGCTTTTCATTGTGCAAAGTTGTCTTGGGGTTTGCAAGTTACTGAATAAATCCTGAATCATATTCTAATTTAGGATTACTCTACAAGTGATTAAAAATGTCTTGGGTCTTGGATACTGTCCACCATACACTCTGAACAGCCTTGTGATTGGGGAACTAGTCTCCCAAATAAATGCTGAATCAAATGGATAATTGATTCAGTCAGAACTCTTTCTCTAGAAGTCAAGAGTGACAGGAGATGATCAAACAAGCATGAAAAACATGTTCCCACAAAAGAAATCTCACTCAAGCAGCTAAGCAAATGAAATGCAATTACCCAATGTCTACATTCACATGGTAATGAAATCCTGCTCAAATCATTGAACTTTCTTTAATTTATGGATAAGTTTGTTGTTGTTAGGTGCCTTTGAGTTAGCTCTGACTCATAGTGACCCTATGTACAACAGAATGAAACACTGCCCAATCCTGCATCAGTCTCACAATACTTGCTATACCTGAGCCCATTCTTGCAGTCACTGTGTCAATCCATCTCTTTGAGGGCCTTTTCCTTTTTCATTGACCCTCCACTTCACCAAGCATATTCTTCTCCAGAGAATGGTTCCTTCTGACAACATGACTAAATTAGGTGAGATGAAGTCTGACCATTATCACTTCCAAAGAGCACTCTGGTTGTACTTCCTCCAGGATGAATTTGTTCATTCGTCTGGCAGTCCATGGTACTTTCAGTATTCTTTGCTAGCACCGCAACTCAAAAGAATCAACTCTTCTTTGGTCTTCCTTATTCTCTATCCAGCTTTCACATTCATATGAGGTGATTGAAAATACCGTGGTTTGGGTCAGGCACACCTTAGTCTTCAAAGAGACATTTTTGCTCTTCAGCACGTTAAAGAGGTCTTTTGCAGATTTTCCCAGTGCAAGACATTGTCTGATTTCTTGACTTCTGCTTTCATTGGTGATGACTGTAGAACCAAGTAATATGAAGTCTTGGATAGCTTCAATCTTTTCTCCATTTATTATGGAGTTTATGGGTGAGTTTGGAGAGTTTTTTTTTTTTTCCCCTTCTATACTCAGATGAGCAAACTTACTGGAGAGTAGGCAGATGATAATTTAGTATCCTATCCCCAATTGCAAAAAAGGAGGGCATGATTACAGAAATTAGTTGATTTTGTTAAGTCCCCTCGAGTCCATTCCTACTGATAGTGACCCTATATACAAAAGTGTGAAACACTGCCTGGTCTTGCACCATCCTCACCAATGTTTGGACCCATTGTTGTAGCCACTGTGTTAATTCATCTCATTGAGGGCCTTCTTATTTTTTACTGACTCTCTATACTTTACCAAGTATGATGTCCTCCTTCTCCATGGACTGGTCCCTCCTAATAAGATATCCAAAATATGTGAGATGAAGTCTTATCGTCCTTCTAAAGAATATTCTGGCTGTACTTCTTCCAAGACAAATTTGTTCCTTCTTTTGGGAGTCCATGGTGTATTCAATGTTCTTTGACAACACCATAATTCAAAGGCAACAAATCTTTGATCTTCCTCATTCACTGTCCAGCTTTTGCATGCATATGAAGTGATTAAAAATATTATGGCTTGGGTCAGGCACACGTTAGTTCTCAGAGTGACATCTTTGCTTTTTATCATTTTAAAGAGGTCTTTTGCAGTATATTTATCAGTGCAATACATCATTTGATTTCTTGACTGCTGCTACCAAGTATATTGACTGTGGATTCAAGTAAAATGAAATCCTTACAACTTCTATGTTTTCTCCATTTATCATGATATTGCTTTTTGGTCCGGGTGTGAGGATTTTTGTTTTGTTTTCTTTGTGTTGAGGTATAATCCATACCAAAGACTGTAGCCTTTGCTCTTTATCAGTAGGTGTTTTAAGTCCTCTTTGTTTTCAGCAGGTGTATCATCTTGTTATCTGCATATCAGAAGTTGTTGATGTCTTCCTCCAATCTTAATGCCAAGTTCTTCTTCATATAATCCAGCTTCTTGAATTATTGGGTTAGCATACAGATTGATAAGTCTGGTGAAAAGATACAATCCTGACACATAGCTTTCCTGATTTTAAATCATGTATTATCCCCTTGTTCTGTTCAAACTGCTGCCTCTTGGTCTATGTACAGGTGTCGCATAAGCACAATTAAGTGTTCTGGTATTTTCATCCTTTACAATGTTATCCATAATTTGTTATGGAGCAGCATGGCAAAAAGATTCAATCATAAAAGATTTTACTGTGAATTTACTAAAATCATGTTTCATAGATAATAAACTATATGTATCACAAAACTAAACCAACTCATTGCCATCGAGTCTGATCTGACTCACACTGACCCTTGCTTGGGTTTCCAAGGTGGTGCCACTACAGAAGTAGGTTGCCCAACTTTCCTTCCAAGGAGTAGCTGGTGGGTTTGAACTGCCAGCCTTCTGGTTAGCAGTCAAATGCCTTAAACACTATGCCACTACAGCTCCCGTATATTATCATAAAGCGTGTTTAATATCAAGATGTATGCAGTGACTTGCAAACCTCAAGGCAGTTTTACAAATCCTTGAACCATGCTAACCACATGCAGTAAATGGATCATTTCATTTCAGACTCCAATGAAATGCAAATGCCTCAAGGGACAGAGTTACATGTTGAGTCTTTTTTTTTTCTTTCTTTTTGGCTATAACTACTTATTTCTAATGAGTATTTCCAATGAAATAAGTAGTTATTTAAAAAAAAAAAAACTTGCCTAAGTTTATAACTCAACATGTAACTCTGTCCCCTGAGGCATTTGCACTTCAATAGAGTCTGAAATAAATGATCCATTTACTGTGTGTGTTAGATTGGGTTCTCTAGAGAAACACAAAAACCAGCAAAGCAAATATATATATATATATATAGAGAGAGAGAGAGAGAGAGAGATTTATCTTAGGCAAATGGCTCACAAGCGTATAGAAGCCGACAAGTCCAAGCTGCAAAGTCCGTCTCTGTAGGAGGTGGGGCTTGCAGCTGCCTTTGTTCCTGCAAGCACAGCGGAGCCGAGAGATTCAAGCTGGCATGCAGTATATTGGTTGTTGTTTCCAATAAAAGATGAATCCGAGATCTCCAGGGGAGCGGTGAGCCGCTCACTCAAGGAAGTCTGTAGTTCGGAATGCCGTTCTTCCAGATTGTCCTTGGAATATCATTGCAAGCAGGCCCCTAGGGAAACTCCCCTTGGGCAGACTGGCCACTCAGAACTCAGTCATCTGATCCCATCATGGGAACAACCACCCAGAACTGGGGTCCAGCCAAGTTGACACACAGCTCCAACCATCACACTGTGTTTTGTTTGTATTGTTCATGACTTCATAAAAGTGCTTGAGGTTTCCAAGTCACTGCATAAATCTTGATAATAAACATGCATTGTGATATATATATTTTATTATTTATGCAACATGATTTTAGTAAATTGACAGTAAAAGTTTTTATGATGGGATCCTTTTGCCGTGCTGCTAGACAAATTTACTTAATAATACTTAATAATACTATAAGTATTGATCTGTATGTCTTTGTGGAATAAGAATATATTGATCGCCTTTGTATGTCATGATAGCTGGGAATTTTTAAATAACTAATAAACCTTTTAAAATTTGCATCCTATTTATGCCTAGCAATTTTATAGTTCAAATTTGTAATTACTCAAAATCAAAACCCAAACCAAAAGACATAAATAAGATCACATAGTGTTCCTTGAACTCCAAATAGTTCTTCAAGACTCTTTTGAAAGTATGTTTGTTGATAGCTTGTTAATGATGTGAAAACCTATGTTCTATGGATCCTTTAATATAGATATAGCTTGTTGTTGTTAATTGCCATTGGCTTTGACTCTGGGTGACCTTATGTATAGCAGAATGCAATGTTGACCTGTCCTATGTCATCTCCATGATCTTTGATATGTGTGATCCCACTGTTAAGGCCATATGTACAGCATATAGGTCAACAAAGTATTTTTACTTAAAGGTTAACCTGTCTAGAACTTGGAAAAGAAAGTGCTGGAATATTCTGCAGAACCCAGAACATTAAAGTCCATTTTCTCCTGTTAAGTCTGGAATCAATCTGATGGGCTTATCACTGTTTGCAGATGACGATGACTGTGCTCCCGTGAGATGTGGCACACATGCTTGGTGTGTTTCAGAAGGAGACAACACCACGTGTCAGTGTTTGAAAGGATTTGCTGGTGATGGAAAACAATGTTCTGGTAATAGCAAAAGCCAATCATACACAGTATCTGGAAAATAGTGATCCAGAAACGTTCTTTCAGCTCATACTGACTCACAATCTCTAGGAGGATACATGTAGTCAGCAAGATTGGATAAGTTATTTGATATTAGCTAAGAATCTAGTTGATGACATACATATAAAATATGAAACATTGTTTCATTGTTTCAAATATTATACAGTATTATACTACATTGAGTTTAACTAAAATTTAGCATCAGAAGTGTGAATTCAAGTTTAAGTCAAATTTATAAATTTGCTGATTTTAATAGAAACACATTTTTTCACCCCCAGACCCTTAAGGGATAGCTCTGGTAGCATAGTGCTTAAGGCACTTGACTGCTAACCAGAAGGCTGGCGGTTCAAACCCACCAGCCACTCCTCGGAAGAAAGATGGGACAATCTACTTCCCTAGTGATACTGTCTCGGAAACCCAAGGAGGGGTCGCTATGAGTGGGGTCTGACTTGACGGCACATAACAACAACAACAGACCCTTAAGTTTAAGTCAGATAAATAAGTTGTGATGGATAGATTTCTATTTTACATTGATAGCCTCAAAATTATGTTAGTGATTATTAGAAAACTCAGTCTTTATAGTCTGAGACTCCGGCACAAAGGAATTCATTTACATATGCTTAGCTAATCAGACATGTGGAAACTTAGTAAAAACTGACAATTGATTCAGAAGTGAACTTTATGTCCAAGATCCAGGGTTCATATTACATTTTCCAACAGTAACTGTGAACAGCTGAATGATTGAATATAAGACTGTGCTTATTGTTTCCTACTATTTCCATTTCAACCTGGATTGCCTATATATTTCACTAGCTTATAATTTCATCCACAGATATAGATGAATGTGAGAAGAACATCACAATTTGCCCTTCAGCCTCATCCCAGTGCATCAATACTGAAGGTGGCTATGTCTGCAGGTGCTTAGAGGGCTACAAAGAAGATGGAATTCACTGTCTTGGTAAGAGAGCTGCAGACAGAGGAGGGCAGAGTCAGGCCTCAGGCAATCATGAAGAATCAAGAGAAGACAGGATATAATTGAATAGCACACCTGCCAAGACTAAAAGAAGAATTGTGCAACTTGTTCCAACTGACACATTTCAATTCTTGGTAAAGAGTCAAATCTGTGCCTCGTGCTTTGACTGAACCAACTTGATGGCAACTGGTTTAGTGCTTTGATTTGTGCTATGACTGTACTAGTCAGCTTCAAGGCTGTGCAGAGGCTACGGAGCTCTCTGCCTTGCTAATTCTTTCTCTGAGATTTGAGAGACAGCAGTAGCTCATCAACTCTCCATATCTTGAGCCATCAGGAGTGTGTTTAGGGGGGATTGCTCTCAGTATTTTGTTTCTTGTTGAACTTGACAACCAAAATGTGGTCAACTGCAGAGCTGGTGGAGGTTTGCTAGATACCACTGTTGTGTGCAGAAAGGAACAGGTGTGTGGTTCTGTGTCAGGGCTCACAGGTAGCTCTTGATAAATTGAATGGATGTGAGATTGAAGCCACTGACATTTGGATGGAAATAAAGAATGATTAAAACCTCTTTCATAATGGCCATCCCCTGCCCAAGGTCTGGGTGTGGAGTTCACTTTGCCAATATCTTGTACCTGTCCAGGTGTCAGTAGTATAGCATCACCCTATAAGTGAAGACCTGCCTGCTGTCATCAGGGTTCAATGAAGTGGCTATCTGATGTTTTACAGGATTTAAAATTTCTCTTTTAGTATGTATATAT